TATCAGACGAAATGACGGGAAACAAGTAAAGCATAACAATGTGTTCCATGAATTTGAATGCCCCATGATTGCCGCAGATTGTAAGCTGCATAACAGGGGCGTCATTTAATATACTTTTGGGAGGGGAATGAGCAATCCTAACCTAACCCCCCCCCCCCCCTATGTTGAATTGAGCACCAATGCTGCTTTGAGCCCCATCAACGTACATGAGCAAAGAGGGAATACTGAGCAAAACACATGCAGAACAATTATCTGAACTATTCGTACGCTAGGTAGTGGGTGCTTAAAAACACCACTATTAGTGTCATGCTAGTTATGTACGAAACAGTACCCTGTAGGTACCAAATGTTTTTGTCCTGCCAGCTCCTTGATTTATTAATTGAGTCCGCAAATGTTTGTCAAGTTTTTAAGATAAGAACGTCAAGAATAATTGACTGCAACATGCCGAGGTTTTAAAAGTACAGGGATGGCCCAGATCACATCAAAGTTGACACATGCTTTCTGCAACAGTGCAGGTGTATTCGTCGCATAATCATGGCTGTGGTGGGTATGCTACACATCAGTGACATCGAAAGTCATCAGTGATTCCTGACAACAATTTACCAAGTTGTTTTTTCTGTTAGTTACACATCTTTTTTGTTTTTTTTAAAGGTAGTTCACATTCCACTTGTAATGGGATGTAATTCTTTCAATGAAGTCAAAATGTGAAGTTATTTTCCGGTAAGGGGCTCCTCTTCCAGCTCATCGCCTCTATGGAAGGCGATTAAATGGAGCAGCGTGGGAAAAGCCTCCGTTTTCTGGTTGATGTGGCACCAGGATATTTTGTGCTCCAACTCTTAACTAAAATAATGACAATTTTTTTACTCGGCACAAATGCTGCAGCCAGTCTCGTGTTTAAGACTATGCTACTCCTGAAGGAGGATGACAACTCATGTTAGCTACTTGTGGGTAAATGAAATATACTGCAACATGAAATGTGCTGGCTTGATGTACCTGCCGCTGCCACATACCTAACATATCGTTACCTGTGGAGAAAATATATGACATTTACCTGAGTAAATAAGGCTACATTCTTCATGGTATACACACCTGCCGATACCTTTTCAACGAACGGACAAAAACATCATCGCCGACACTCATCACGCGACGAACCCAGCGCCCCCCACCCCCCGTACCTGAAATTCACGGCAGCCCAGTGTCCTGCAACTGACAATGCGTTCCCACACAGTGGCAGACAGCTGCGTAACAAGATGACACCCACAATATTCGCTTGACCGGGTAACCACTAAAATCACCAAAATCACCGATGTCTCATCTATTTCAGCTGCATCGTTAAAATACTCGCTGAGCAAGAAGTCCAGAATGCCAACTATGCTATTAAGTTGCCTCACATTGAGAAACAACAAGATAACAATTTTTCCAAAGGACATACATTTTGCGAACAGTGGGGTGGAAAAATTCCAAAACATTGAGGCATCGAAAGTCCTTTTCAAGATGTGACACAAGATGTGACACAAGACACATTTCATTCCTGCTCCTCCTATACCAGCCGCCAATGACCATCGAACTTAAATTGAAAATCAAAGCATTCAAGCATACCACATATCGGCACTCTTAGGATAGAATCATAACATAAATGACATCCAAATCTCACGTTTGTGAGCGGCATTTTTGGTAACAATATCTGCTTTTGGTTTCTTGAATGTGATCGGAAATACGCTCCCATAATTGGATTTTCTGGCATGCTTTTACCTATTGTGTAAGTGGTAGGAAGTGAAACACTTCTCAGTACATCGGTGAATGCCTGTCTTTGAAGATGCTAGACCACAGTGTTGATTTAACAACGGTATCACGGCCCCAGGCTCAACCAATGCTTGTACTTGTAAGATAGAGACGGTCGGAAACCCGGAGGGAAAAAATCGCAGCGACTGCTTGTCCCACTCAACATATGGCCTATGGGGGAGAACAGGGGAGAGCAAGGCGGAATACAAGCCGGAGAACAGCAAGGCTTTGGCAAAGTCAGCCAAAGGTTATTAAAAATTTACGTATTATGATATCGCTCAGACACGGGCCCTCCTTTAGCAGTGTTGAAAAAGGTATCGGCAGGTGTGTATGTCATGTAGAATATAGCCTTATTTACTCAGGTAGATGCCATATATTTTCCCCACAGGTAATTATATGTTGGGTGTGTGGCAGCAGCAGGTACACCAAACCAGAACATTTCATTTTCCGGTATATTTAATTACACACAAGTAGCTCATGCCAGTTGTCATTACAATTCAGGGGTAGCATAGGCTTGAACACGTGCATCAAACGCATGTTATGTTATGACGAGGGGCGTTGACATAAGCTCCCTGGATTGTCCAGCGCCTGTAGGATTGCAGTTGTTTGTTTCCATTTGTTGGTGCTTCATGTGTGTCCCTGAATATCAAATATAAGGTATAATTCATTTTATGAAAGCCAAGCTCATACATCCTCTTTGCTACCAACAAAGAAAAACTGTCTGCCTTGGTGCTTATACCCAGGTTCTAAGCTAACGCATTTGCAATGGTGCTTTTGCTCTCTGGGGTTGGCTGCAGCACTTGTGCTGATTAAAACTACTGTAAATTTTTTAGTCAAGAGTTGGAGTACAAAATTTCCTGGTGCCACATCCACCAGAAAACGGAGGTTTTTCCCACGCTGCTCCATTTAATCGCATTCCATAAAAGCGATGAGCTGGGGAGGAGCCAGAAAAAAATATTACCAGAAAATAACTTCACATTTTGACTTCATTGGAAGAATGACATGACATTTGAAGTGAACGTGAGCTACCTTTTTAAAAAAAGCTTAAAAAACATGTGAAACTAACAGGAAAACAACTTGGTAAATTTTTGTCAGGGATCACTGATGACTTTCGCTGTCACTGATGTGTAGCATACCCACCACAGCCATGATTATGCGACGAATACACCTGCACTGTTGCAGAAAGCATGTGTCAACTTTGATGTGATCTGGGCCACCCTGTACTTTTAAAACCTCGGCATGTTGCAGCCAAAATTCTTGACGTTCTTATCTGAAAAACTTGCCAAACATTTGCAGACACGTTTAACAAATCAAGGAGCTGGCAGGGCAAAAACATTAGGTACCTACAGGGTACTGTTTCGTACATAACTAGCATGACACTAATGGTGGTGTTTTTAAGCACCCACTACGTAGCACACCAATAGTTCAGATAATTGCTCTGCATTTGTTTGGCTCAGTATTCCCTTTTCGCTCATACACGTTGATGTCGCCCAAAAGAGCATTGGAGCTCAAGTCAGCAAAGGGGTTCAGTCCCCCCCTGAAGTATATGAAGTGACGCCCTTGTTATGCGGCTTACAATCTGCGGCAATCATGGCACATTTAGATCTACGGATCACATTGTCATGCTTTACTTGTTTCCCGTCATTTCGTTTGTTATCATGACGATGTTGGACAATCGTCTGGTCTTGAAGTGTGTTGCGAGCTGGATTTGCTCATCGTTGTTAAGGCTAGTGACGTTGGTTTTAATAATCTCGTGAAGGTCCAGTTGCAAAACCTTGAATGAAAGGACCGAGGGAGGCTGACGACGGCCTACGTATATATATATATATATATATATATATATATATATATATATATATATATATAGATACGCGTACAGGCTATAGATATGAAGTTGTTAGTTGAACAGTTTGCCAGTGACGTCACTGGCTCGCTACACAGCCCCGACCGTGAGGGCTGAGGCTGCAGTGAAAATAATAGCGACCCTTACCGAGAGCAATATGTGCACTGCCTTCGATTTATAGTGTTGCTTCGTCTACGCACACTACCAGAATTCTGCAAAAATCACCATTATTTATCTGCCATTAAATTGGCACACTAGGAAGCATGTGACCGGACAAACTAAAATTCACCTATTATATTGGTACCACACAAATTTTCTAATGGAACACATTTTCAACCGCTGCTGGGCATGAGGGACAAATTTCTTCCGATGTGTACACATTGATCACTTGGCCCCTGAAACATAACCGCTGCAAGCAATGGCAGATTCTTGCACAAAAATAGCGAAGCAACATAGCCCGAGCAGCATTCTGCATGACCAGATGCCGGACATCAAGAGCAAACCTGCGGTGCAGGGCAGGGGATAATGGACAGTAAACAGAAGATGGGACACAAGACAGGGCAGGGCGGAGGGCTGCGCAGGACAGGAACCGGGCAGTATGGAGAACACAGTGCACACAAATGACACCATGGAAGTAAGGCAGAGTACGACAAAGGGCAGGGGGGGGGGGGGGGAATGTAAAGCCTACTACAGATGGCAGAATACGAGAGGCGAGAGATAAATCAAGTGTAAGGACAGCTGGAGGAGAGAACGAGACATACTTGCTACTGTCCTGTACCGCCGTACACTTTCCCGCGCCGCGCCGTGGTGCACCGCACCGCAAACGCAACGGAACGGTAGGGCGGGACGGGACGGCCAGAACCGGGCCATGTCGGGCGGGGCAGGACGGGGCGGGACGGAGGGTTACACGGCAGGGTGTTCTTCGCACAGCCTTGTCCTCGGCTTTGTCCTGCTGTCTGCTCTGCTCTGTCCTGCACCCTATTTTGTACTATCTGCCGCCTCGTCCGGTGGCCTATCCTGCTTTGTCCTTTGTCCTGCAAACATTGCATGAACGATGGGAAGGGGGATACCGAGCAATCGGCGCAGCACTCAGTCCCGACTCCCAGTGACGTCACTGACCAGGGGCGCGAGCCGGCTGATTCGTGCCACATGGCACGCCCGCACGCGTTGCTCACGGCGACTGGTAAACTTGGACCCTGAATTCCGGAATGCACCTGGCTGGGAAGACGTCCGCCAGCGCGTGCCGCTCCTCGGGCGCGTCTGGTGCGGCAGCGCGGACCTCTCGCCAAGACGCCCGTCCTGGCCCCGCCGCTGCCATCATGCCAACGCAAATGGCCGGACGGCGTTGCATGACGATGCGACGACAGAGCGGTGGCGCAGGCCGAGTCAGGTGCTGCGCCGTCTGGCTGACACCCGAGACGACCGGGGCGTTTGGGCTGCCACGGACGCGCAGAACAGTCGGCCCCCGCCACTCGCCGGTCACGTGTGCCGCTCTTCCTGCTAGGTACGCCTCAGTTCTGTGCAATTGTGTAGTTCTGTGTTCTGTTAACTAATTGCCGTATGCTTGCAAACGATCGATGAGATAGGAGGGTGCGTGCGTGTATATATTTCACATTTAGATGGTGTTTGAACTGTAATAGACATTTTGAAGATTATTCGGTACAATTTGCAGTCATGCTCTGCTGAGAACCTAAACCGCAGATTTTTTGTAGCTACATGCAAACAAAGATGTGGAGACCTGTTCGAACAAACTATCTCAAGGTTACCCAGGTATCCATGACGCCATATTAGCGTTATTTAAATCCTGGCATTTCATTAGCCATGCAGCGATCAAGGCCAATAAAAATGTCAAGCCATTCACATCTGGCGTTCGTGAACACGATTTCTGCATTTAACGGCCGTTAGTTGGTTCTCAATGAATACTGTGCAGGGATCCATGACGTAATCAAATAATGACGGATTGAAAAACATATTTACTTAACAGAGAAGCTGCGCTGTCTAGATCAGTTGTTCATTTTAAAATAAGCATGAAAATAGTGACGAGCGAGTTGTTTTCATCACCTGATGCTTCCTTCACTATTTTCAACTCGGGAACATTCCCTTTAAAGGGAATACGGGCGGTCATCTGCGCAGACGATATATAGACGCATCAACAGGCATGCGGAAGACGCGGCACCAGCTGACCAGGGCAAACATAATTCTTCGAAGACAACAGCAAACATTTCCACTATGTCCTGTGTTCGTGTGCGCAGCTCATCTTTACTGGGATAACAAAGTGATGGTGCTCTTTATTACTGATTTAGCTTTATAGCCCCGCCATCGCACGGTGTCGTATACATTTTATATTGGTTAAAGGGATTGTTTCATATTTATATGGGGTTTTGAACTAAAGCAGCCACCTTTAACACTTTTCGGTGTTGTTCACAATCTTGTCTTTCTAATGATCTTTCTATCTAGGTCTAATCTAGGTCTTTAAAATGGCACGGCTGGGAATCGCACTGAATGCTCTTTTGGCTACTGCTATTTCAGTTCGAAACCCCATAGAACTGTGGGACACTCGCTGTAAGCCCCCCTCCCAAACAATGAATGTGGGCAAAGACAATGTAGCAAAATAAAACCCAGAAAAATCCCTATAATGCTGGTACACTAGATGCCTACATGAAGACACCACTTTAAGCTTTGCGTCAATGTTGTATTACATAGTACTTTTTGAGTACGTACATAGTATCATATAGAGTTTTCACGAAATAACACCTCAATTGTGACCAAACATGCACTTGGATGTGCAACAGCATTTGGTCGCATTTACCTGTTTGCACAGCCTACCATCTTATAAACCGGGGTTCACACATGGACAATTTTGTGTTCCACCTGTTGACTTCTTTTTGAAGTAGATGTAGGCATTGTTAAACAAGGGCGCACACAGGATTTCACAGTCGAGGAGTGGGAGCAAAGCTTCAAAATAAATTGGAGCTTGCCGTAGGCGGAGTTCTTTTTAAGCAATTGTGTCCTTGGCATCGAGATCACAAATCTGAGTGTCTGAAATGCAGGAGAAATCAGGTTCGGGTAGATCAGGTCAGCCTTACCGGCAGGGCCCCCCCCCCACTTATTTGGAAAAGTGATTCACTTCCTCACGTGCATAAAGCAGATATGTGTCTTTACGCATCGTTTACAGCGTGACAGTTTTTATAATTTTTCCGAATGGTTTGCATGGGTGACTTTGGGCTCACAGTGCCTGCTAAGCATAGCTTGTTGTGTGTACCCTAAACCTGCCACCTAAGTCATGCCGTCCAGTTCGACGGTTAATTTTGCCTTCACCTTTTCGCCAGAAAGGAATGTGGAGGGTTTTACGTGCCGTGTAATGTGGCCGCCCCGGCCTGGGTGGACCTTCGTTAACTAGTCACCAGCTGACCTTTCAACCGTTTTATTCGTAAGGCAATTTAAAGGTAGTGTTCCACGTTTGTATATGGGTCTGAACCAAGGCAACCATTTTAAAGGCAATTTCGTGTTGCTCACAGCCCTATCCTTTTTATTGCTCGAAGCTAACTAGCTCCTGAGCTTGATATCATCGAGCTTCTGCAGACTTTTTCGTGCGAAATATTTCAAGGTCACCCGGGTGTGCATGATACAACGGAAAAGTCATTAGAATACTGTCACTTCACTGGCCAAGTAGCGTTCAGGACAGCGAAAAATATTATCATTGAACTATTCGTGTCTGGCGTATGCCAGCACGATTTCTGGCTTCCACGGACGTCAATTGGCCTAAGACCCCTACTTCATTTAATGGAAGTTCTGAACAAGAATCACGTTTGTGCTAAATGACGCAGGAGCTCGGGCAGTGGTACGACCTATATTGGAAATCAGGCTGTGAATAAAATAAAGTCAGAAAAGCGCCGTGACAGCGTCTGTGAATGCAAGTAAATAGTGTAGAAGCGCCGGAAGAAATGACTGATAACGCAATCAAACGATGACACATTCAGGGGCCTATTGCCAGTTGGTGAAAATGTGTTGTCTGGAGCGGTCTTTTGCACTTAAAACCATTCCTCATCACACCTTATGCTTACCTCATTATCATCAAATGTCGGGCATTCCCTTTTAAAACCCATAGGCGATAGGGTGCAAGATGACGTCGATATTCGGGTCTCCATCGATTTCGCTATAGATGGGCACGCAGCACGGTGTAAACGAACCTTTAAGTGCTAGTGTGCTCTGTTGCTGTCGTATTATCGTGAAGCATTATTGACGTCGTGTTTTTTTATGTTTAGAACATATGAGTTTTGGGCATAAGGTATCAAAAACATATGCTCCAGTATGGACTTCTACGAGCTGGGTAGTCTCGTTCCCATTTCGACATAAATGGGTGTACAGTATTAGGTGAGCGAATCTCAAAAATGAACCACTGGATTAGGCTCCGCAGAGGACATTTGACCGCTAACGTTCGTTTGCGACGTTTAGGGAATTGTAACCTTGGCTACCACCAGTTCCTTGTGTGTGGGTAATCTGGAAGTGATGTACGTTCACTGTTTAGAGCGAGCGACGTGAAAGGGGCAACCATCGGCTGCGTCTCATCCATGGTATTCGTTTGAGATCCACAGACCAAAAGATGCATAAACATATGACCATTTGAGAAATTGGCGCCCCCCATATTCATGAGGTGTGCTGCTTATATCACGTAGAGCCACATTCTGCGCCGACGATTTCCATCACTCCCAAAAGAAATCGCAGTTTTGGATGCCACACGTCGAATCGATTAACACGCGCTCAGGAGGGGGGTCAAATTGAGCCCCCAAATGTTTTTTTTCCGAGTGGGTTCCTAACGGCACGGCGTAGACGCGCCAAATTGTGCATAGCTGTAGACAATTGAATAGTGCATCCTTTGGCATCAAAATATATATGGACCTTGTAAGGTCGCTGACCTATGGCAGGTCAACGTCAGACCATGGTTTCAGCGAAGGCAATTTCCAGGGAATCCTTCAATCTGATCCAACAACAGAGTGTTAGACGAAGCCATACATATCTGAGAGACTTCCGTAGGAGCACAACAGTTGAATGAGCAAATTAATTTGACCAAAGGTCAGGTGTGAAGGTCACACCAAGGTCCAAACCAACCTGTTTTATTACTCAAGGGCTTGCTGTATGGGATAGTTTCTGGTGCTCATTTCGAGTTTATTGACAGCAGGAACTACATTATAAATCCTCCATGAACTTCTTCAGAGGTCAGAATAGGTCATTGACCTAAAATGACGTAGGTCAACATTTTGTTTTAGGAACATACTGCCTAGCGTCATCTTTGTCGCTTAGTCAAGTGCAAAACTCAAAGCAGTCTTGTATGATTTTTGTCACCTTGACGTTCAAAAGGTCAAACAAGGTCATTGACCTTGGAGAGAATGTGACCTTTTGCTTAGAAACGGTTATCTACGTTCTGGGGGGCACTTTGGAAACGAACCTGAAACTTGACCTTGATTGACCTTTTTTGACCCGAAGGTCATGAGCTAGGAATTTAAAACTTTGACCTAAGTGAGTTCACGTACAGGTCAACACACCCTGTGAATTTGGTGTCTCTGGCTTTGTTAGTTCCCGAGATCTCAGGGGGGTCAAATTGACCCCCTCCACCCGAGCGAAGGGTATCTAGTCGGCCACCCGGGCGCGTGTTAAATGTCACTATGATTTGAAACATAAAATGACGCTCTTTGCGCGCTCTGCCATCCTTACCACAGGCCTTCTGTACTCAACACCACGGATGCAGGGTCTTGCGACCACTAACGCAACACATGAGTAAAACAACAATATTTTATTTGCGGTCCTCCAACAAAAATTGTTTCTGTATACCTCATATGGTCGAGACAGGCGTACGCATTCCAGTCACGCAAATATCATTTTCGTATTTCCGCGAGCTTCTCATTGTGGATCCGCCTTCTTCTTCACGTCATGGCACTCGTATGACAATCTGCGTCCGTTTCAGCAGCTGTCATGGCAACCGGAGGAAGGCAAGACGGCCTTCGATCGTCTGAAAAGCAACTCCCTGTCATTTGTTCATATTTCAACAGCCCAAAAGGATGTGACAGGGAGCGTTGTGCTGCTCTTCATATATGCTATCACTTCGTCACCAGTGAGTGCCGCTACGGAGAAAGGTGCCGTCTCACGCATTCGTTGGAAACACCAGGAACACGAAACCGTCTGTTCAGATTGGGATGGACACCCGACCAATATCCAGACCTGCTGAGAATGCTCCAGATGAAGTACGCCCCCAAGAACAGGTTCACTCGGAGCCTCGTTCCGTCTGTCTGCTTTGCGTACAACTGCAACAGCTGCAATAATGGGGAATGTCCGTTCGTACACCTGTGCTACCGCCATGTCATGGGCCGCTGTCCGGGCAGGCAGTGCAGGCAAACCCCGCCGCTGAGTCACAGTCTGGCCAACGCGCACAACGCCCAGATACTGACAGCTTGCGGCTTGGGGGACGTAATCTTCACAAAAGTCATCAGTAGCCTACGAAACTGGCCACTGCGACCTCGGGTTTGTCGCCGGTACAACTCGAACGGGTGTACATTGGCCGGTTGCAAGCAGCTCCATTGCTGTTACTACTTCGCCCGCGGCAACTGCACTTACGGGGCCAGGTGCCGGCATGATCATCATCTGAACAGCTGGCATAACAAAATTGTTCTGGAGTTCTTTGGGCTCAACCCGTTTTACGCACTTTCTATCGTTCGTGAGGATATCGAGACCGCTGGCATTGCTGGAGTAGAAACCCATCCAACTGCCCCCCTGTGCCCACCATCTGGTGGTCACATGCGTCGTTCAGTGCAACAAGAGAACGCAGATCAAGGACAGGAAATTCGAAATGCTCAGGTTATGGATGAGAGGGACGAGGCGTTGCAAAGTTTTTCAAAGATGGCAGAAATCAATCAAGAAAACGAAATTAAGCTCAAAATCGCAGAAAAGGAAAAAGATGCTATTCAGGTGGAGGCGGAACACAAAACACTGCTGGCTGAGGAACAAGGGCAGTTTTTTTCTAAAACATATGAAAAGCTTCTGGCGGAGCGAGACAGCCTTGAGCGAAGTTTGCTGGTCGCTGCTGAAAATAGTTTTGAATATGAGAATATCGTAACCGGCTTAAACGAAAAGCTATCAAGTTTGGAACTGGATTTCGAGAAAACGCAGGACGAACGCCTGGCACAGATTGAAGAACGTCGTAGCCTGCTTGAAGAACATAAAAAGTTGCAAGATGAACTGGATCAGGAGCGTCGTAAGAGGAGAGAGGAGGATCTAGCACGCTCCGAACAGCTGGAAAGCACACTCATATGCAGCGTTTGTTTGGAAATGTTCGTCGAGGCAACAACGCTGGGCTGCGCGCACACCTTCTGCGGCAGCTGCGTTTCATCAGTTGAGCAGGCGAATGGGCTCTGTCCCATGTGCAGGGCACCGATTCGAACAAAAACGCGTTCGATCACCTTGGATGAGATGGTGAGCAAAGCTTTGGAAACCATGAGTGAGGACCGTCGCACCGCCCGACAGATTCTGCTGAACGAAAGAGGCTAGTCTCGTCAGCTTATGCTTAAGGGAATTTATATATGGTACTTTGAGCTCAACGAGACGTGCGCTGAAATACACCAGTACTTTTGGGGACGTTTTGCTGGCGGACATGCAGCCGGTGGTGGCCGCGGAGAGATTGCAGTGCTGTGACGTCGACTGCGACGTCGACTGGTAAGGGTGTAAAACAACAAGCGGGCAATGCCCTATAATATTTGATGCGCATATACGCCTTCAAAATCCTTGCAACATGGCGAAGGGTAAAGCATAACCTGAAATCACTTAGTTTGTGTTATACACCATGCCATGCATGTTGTTTTGTGAACGGTACATATGTAGGTGCGAATTATGGGTGCCAAACTGATAGCAGACTATGCTGAATACAAAGAAGGATAAAAATGGTCCTTGATTGTTGGTATTAGTTGAAATGTAGCTCAGGTATCTTTTCTGTGTATATGATATAGGAGTTTTGCTGTGAATCATGTGGAGCATCTTCATAGATTACACACCTCGGAGGCTGCACAATCACATTGAGCAGCATTTTCTGTGTGATTGAAAACGTTCCTTGCAAACCCAAACAAAAATGAGAGTGATGTTTTGAATGCGTCTCTAGTTTGGCTTGCATTTCTGTTATCTCGGTAAGCGCACATTGCACACTTTGTTAGAAACTCTTAACCCTTTATGTTTTTTCTCAATGTCCAGCTGGATGAGCTGCTCGTGATCTCACCGCATCCATTGGAAGTTGTGATATGTTGAACTATAATGGTGATATGAAGGTTGCTTTGTGTTACATTGCGAGTGATGGTATGGTGTTTTGGTTAGATACCTACATATATACATATATATATGTGTATATGCACACACGTGTATATATATCTATATATATATATATATATATATGTATATATATGCATTTCTATGTATATATATATATATATATATATATATATATCAGGATCATAGTTTGATGACTTATTTTAGACCTTTTCGGTTTCAAGATAACAAGGATTACTCCAAATGACCTGTTACACTTAACCAATTTATTCCCCTAAACATCAAAAGGTTTCCATGAAGTAAGTCGTGTTCTGTTACTGTCTATCGTATCAATGGCTATGACCATTCTCTGACTGTGCGGTTAGCGGCCTCGGCATGAATTTATCAGGCAAAGTAACACCGACCAGTGCCCTACCAAAGGCGGTAACCTTTTTCTGTAAGGCTTTGCGAACATGGTTCTGTCAACCTTTGGTAGTGTGTAAGATGTCAGACCATTGCTATCAAATACCAAAGACGGCCGCCGGCGTAGAGGTGTGTTGCAAGGAAATGCAAGGTAGAAAGATGAAAGAGATCAAGTCTAGTACCGTCTGCTGCATGTAAATACTCGCTGATTAATTTTGTACATGCCGAACAAACCAATGACGCCCATCGCAATGCCTGTATCACGCTCGCACAGCTGTTAACCTTCCAGGCAAAGGCGCGGGTTAGTGATATCAGCAGTGTTATGTGCAGGTGCATAATATACGTCACGGGTCTAATCTTTCGTTGGTTCCCCTCCCCCCCCCCCCGAACCCAGTACGTGCTGGCGAGCTCGATGATGATAGCAGGCGACCTGACGCACCCATTCCTGCCGTGGCTGATAAAAGGCTTCACTGGTGACTCAACCGAGAAACAAAGGCATTCCACCAGGTGGCTCAGCCATAACTACGTACCTATTGAGCACTATTTTGGCTGGTTCAAGGAAGGTGGCCTCGGCTCCGAAACCGGTTAGAAGCAAACTACGGTTTTACTCCAGCTATTGCTTGCGCGTGCGCAATGCCCCGCAGCATCGTGGAGGAGCGAGGAGACACATTCAGAAACGTTTGGCCGGCCGCGGCGAAAAAAAAAAAACAAGAGGCCGGATGCGGGATGTCATGCCGGTAATACGGATTGCACAACAGTCGTCGCAGAACTGACAGACGTCAACTGTGTTTTCATCACTCGGCGCTTCTATCTATGGCAATCACCTGATAGCGTGCGGACCGAGGACCGAAATATCCCGGCCTGCTAAGTTGTCTAGCGATACTCTATCGCACGTACCGCCAAAGGTGAATGTCCACTTCAGACAGCACGGCAGTTGTGCACTAGGATGTGCTATCAATAACAAAACCACGTGAGACAAATACATTTTTTGGTGCATGCGTCCAAAATTACGCGGCACAGCAAAAACTCTTTCCAAAAGCTTAAATTCGTGAGGCGCGAGTCCGTCGAAATATCTCCTTAAACCAACGCCCGGTGTTGCAGTCACCCTACGCTGGGCAGCGTCCGCCGCCGCGGGTAACACCAAGCCGTGGGCGGGAAGCGACCCAAAATACCTTTGCCTATAGAAACGATACTTCCGAGCGCTCCTTAAGCCGTCATACGAGAATGTCCCCGTCTAAGGTCTAATATGAGGATCAGACATTCCCCGCTTGATTGCCATTTGGCGGAAACTTCATGTGCTGCTAAGTATGAACTCGTGCGACTACGCTAGTTAGTATTGCTTTAGACTTTCACTTCTCTAAGACAGCTCACGTGATGCAAACAATGCTATGTAAAGCATATGACTCAGAATATATTGTCTGGTGTACAACTTACTACATACAGCAAGTTCTGCAGCCTGTACCACGGACGTAGAGAGGGAGGGGGGGGGGCGGTAGGGTGACCCCATGCACATCTTGCTCCTTGCCTGGCCTGTGTAGTCGATGCACCGGCCCAAACAGCAACTGTTCACAGACTGGAAACCCAAAACGCGTGTTGGCAGAGATCGCACGGTAGCATAAACACCTTCGCAGCTGGGCTCCGCATATTCTCGCAGTGGAGGCTGTGTGGCTGGTCGGTGCCAGGGAATCAGTTCGGTGAACCTCACAGCCTCGAAATTTACCGCTGAGATGGCGGAGACCCTAGACTGAAGGAGACACACTGTTTGCTGCTCACGAGCGGCGCAACTATCGGAACTGCCTTGTTCACGGACCATGCGGTTCTTATCCCACACCACGTCCAGCAGCAGCTGTTCCGGACTGTTCCCGTTACGCTGGAAGACTGCCTGCACCGTGGCCTATGTGTGCTGCTGCAGGTCGCAGGGCAGCGCGATGCTTCGGAACAAGTTGCGTAAGCCAAAGTCGCAGCCGCTGTTTGCCGGATGGGTGACCATGCCGACACATAGTGGCCGACCACGCACTGGCCGAGGTCCTTGAGACCGTTGCTGGAGGTCTCGGTAGAGACGTGAACTAGGAGCAGACGAGCGGCCATTGTCAACCATCTGAAAACAAAAGCGAATGTATTAGAACAATTCGCTACGAACTGAGCATCAGATGATGCAAAAGTTATTGTGCCTCTTTAGTGTATGTAATTATGCCGATATTCAAAGTCCTTAAATGGAAGGAATGCGTGTAAACAAATGTGCTAGTAAGTATGAACCAACCAGCAAATGATGCGACGTACTACGGCACAAGGTATGATAATAAGTAAATGCTCAACAGTGCGCATATGAAATCTGAATTGATACTTGATCCACTTTAAATATCCATTGCTATAAATTCGAAGATAATGCGTTTTCATATTTACCTGACATGGTTTGATGGTCCGATCCGCCGCTGGGCTGCCACATTTCGGACAGAGCTGTTTTGAACGCCGGAGGCCAGAAGGCACAGCAGGTGATGGTTGGTGCTCAACTGCTGAATAACGTCGACCGGCAGGTTTGGCATGGTCCCCGACCTAGGCTTGAATGCCACAGCTTCCCTCTCCCAGACCTCCACGGCACAGGTCTTGCCGATGGGCCCAGAAAAAAATTTCGATTCCATGGTCGTGCCATCCAAGCTCAGCAGCAGATGGAGGAGGTTCAGCTCGTTGCCGTGCAGGATGGCAGATGAACCAGTGTACGGGTGACTCAGTGGGCAGCTCAAGCAGCCACGCCGAACAAACACGTCGCCTATCGTTTCGGTGTTGACGGCCGTACCATCGCAGCCGAGCACATTGATGTGACCGTCGCACTGCGGGCTCACGGAGTGTAGCTCGTTGAACAAGTGCAGGCGCGGCCGAACTCGGACGTGAAATGAGTCACGTAGCGGCTGCCTGGCTCAGCGATGACAACCACGTGTTTTTCTACGGCATTCTTCTGACTCCGTGTGGCTCATGTAGCTCCTGCCTTCGCGGCCGTCGGAGTAGAGGATGGTCAAACCTGACTCGTGGATTGCTTTAAAATTTTAACACGCCTTCTCCCTTCTCGCGCTGTCTCCTGCGCAGCAGATCTTAGGGTCTAAGGTATTTCATTTGAAGTAGCCAGTCCATCTCTGCTGTCTTGTTGAAAGGCGTTGATGATAGCAGCAGCGGCCCGTTTCGAGCCGCCCTAGCTGTCAACCGCCAGAGCGGTGTTAGTCAGGTCGTTGGCGTTATAATCTACAGTGACAGTGGTCTCAACCAGAACGAACAATCGGCGTCGTCGCCACCTTCTAGCATGTACGGAACCGTATAAGGATCCCGTGCTCTCGGCTGACTCGCCAGCGCTGAGACCACTTGGTCCCGGAGCAGGCTCGGGGTCAGCACTAGCAGCCAGCGCTGGCTCAGCAGGCGGCGCGGGCTCAGCAGTCGGCGGGGAAGGCGACTCAGGTTCAGTAGCAGATACCGCCTCGCTGGCAGCCGAGCCAGGACGCCCCTGGATTTGTCTGGCCATTCTGCGCACTTCGCGAGCCTCCCTGGTCACAATCGCATCCCGGTCAAATGACCCGAGGGTGAGCTTCCGGTGCCTGCACTTGTCCTTCATGGCAACCTCCTCTTGATACACTGTGCAGGCAACTGGGTATGGAAAGCCGCAAGGAGGCTTGCACTTGCATTTCGCGACGTCAAGAAGGTTGAATTTTACGGTGGCGACGTTGCTGTGCCACTCTCTTTCTTTCTTTGATTTCTTGCTGATGATTCTGTGTGGATGACATCAATCCTTCTCGATCAATTTTGTCAAGTATTTTAGATCATGAACAGGGATCGCTTCGTTGGCCCCCAGTACCCTGATTTCTAACGCCGCGGTCTTGAAGATGGTATTAATGTGATTCCTCTTCGACTCGCCCAGCCACCTGATGTAGCTCA